ATAAAAAATTAAAAAATAATAATAATAAAAAGGAGATGAAGATGAAACAATTATCACTATTTTACCTCAGTGTGGTTTGAAAAAGCCTTCATGAGGTAAATAAAAAGTGTCAGGTCTGCCATTTTCTTGCTGTTAGCTTGAGCTTACATATTGTGCTACCTTCAATCAGCTGTTATCACTGCAGAAATCTTTTAAAGCTACATTTCAATTTTGTATGGATTAGAGACTGTGTAACATAGTCCATAAATACACTTAATTGGACACAAGTAAACTAAAACCTTACTGTGCCTTTGATAAAAGTGAGAGTGCCATACCCATTCTCGCCTCAAGACACTCTGGTAGTCTACATGATAATCTGACATATAGAATGAGTAAGAATGCCATTAGCAATCTGTACATAAAATAGTAGAGAAGCTTAATTTTTCTCCCAATAAGAACATTATGAAAAATAAGTTCTAACATTTTCTTCCTATACATCAATAGATAGTTTAAACACCAACAATCTGGAGACCACTGGCATAAAAATATTGGAGAAGTAACTGCAGGAAAAAGGACTAAGAATAATCCAGGTGTGTGGTGACTGGAGGAACAGAGAGGAAGCTATAATATAAAAAGTACACATAAATAGAGGATAGATGTATAGACAGCAATATGAAAAGGCAAATATAGCAAAATGTTCATTATTGTATCTCAAAGGTGGGCATACATGTTTTCACTATAAAATTCTTATTTTTCTAAATATTGGAAAATTTTCATAATAGCATATTGGCAAAATACAGAAAAACAAGAACAACAGGAATTGGAAACTATATAGAGAATAGAGTAAGAGAGGGAGAATCAAATATGACTCCAAGGATCTGGACTCAAATCATTATGAGGATGGTACCTATGACAGAAAGAGGAAGGGTGACTTTAGGAGAAAGATGTGAAATTTAGTTTTAAGCATGTTTATTTGAAGTGCTAGTAGCACAATAAAAAAAAAGGCTCAAATGTGGTAGGAAATACAGAAATAGAATTCAGTACAGAGGACAATATTAGAGATTTAGATAAGGAACCAGACACAGTAAATTGATAGGTAAAGCTATGAAAATAAATACATTCTAAAGGGAAAACAGGAAAAGGAAGAGAATGGAATTGAAGCAATTAGTGGCAGTTTTTCAGGAAGTATTACCTCAGGAAAAGGAATGGAAACCAGCAAAAGAGATATGCCTGAGAAAACTAATAGCATATATACAATTTTTAGAAAGTCAAATTCTAAAGTACTATATATTCTAGTTTACAGTGGCTGATTTCACCATAAGGAACTTACTGTTGAAAATCTTACAGTCCTACCCATTTGCAACAACATGGATGGAGCTGGGGGATATTATGCTCAGTGAAATAAGCCAGGTGGAGAAAGACAAGTGCCAAATGATTTCTCTCATTTGTGGAGTATAACAACGAAGCAAAACTGAAGGAACAAAACAGCAACAGACTCACAGACTCCAAGAAGGGATTATAGGTTACCAAAGGGGAGGGGTGGGGGAGGGCGGGAGAAGGGGATTGAGGGGTATTATGATTGGCACACATGGTGTGGGGGGGATCACGGGGGAAGACAGTGTAGCACCAAGAAGGCAAATAGTGACTCTGTGGCATCTTACTATACTGATGGGCAGTGACTGAAATGAGGTATGCAGGGGGACACAATAATATGGGAGAATGTAGTAACCACATTGGTTTTCATGTGAAACCTTTGTAAGGTATATCAATAATACCTTAATAAAAAAAAAAAGAAAACCTTATAGACAAAAATTTCTTGAAAATGATTTGAGGTATAATTTACATGTAATAAAATGCACTGATCTTAAGTGCTCATTCAATGATAAAACAATCAATCTAAATGTTTGTTCAGTCATAAAAAATGAGTTTTGGTAGTTGCATGTGTCTACAAAACTGCCATCCTAAAAAAGTGGAGAATTTATCCATCATTCCAAAGAATTATTTCAATATACCCACTTCCTTCCTCTCCTCATTTTCTGACTTCTAGCAGCACAGATCAGTTTTCCTGTTCTTAGGCTTTAAATAATGGATAATTGGGAACCCATTCTTTTCTGTCTGAATTCTTTTTTTCAACATATTTATGAGAATCATCCGTGTTGTTGGGTGTTAGCTACAACTTATTTTTCTTTTTATTGATGAGTAGTATTTCAGTGTTTGAATATACCAGAAGTTGTTTATCCATTCTCATTTGATGGATATTTGGGATGTTTCCAGATTTGAGCTATAATGAACAAGGCTATCATGATCATTTATGTCTTGTGGGCAACACGTTTTCATTTCTCTTGAAATAATACCTTCTGGGAAACTGCCAAAAACGTTCACATAATTTTACATCTCCATCAAAAGTGGAAGTTCCAATTGCTCTACAGCCTGACCAATCTTTGGCATTGTTAGTGTATTTGACTTATATAGTGTATAGCCCTTGCAGGGGGTGTGAATAGCAACTTACCGTAGTGATGACTAATGAAAAGCACCTTTAGATGTCCTTATTAATTATTCTTCTACCTTCTTTGTGAAATGTCTTTTGAAATCCTTTGGTCATTTTAAAAAACAATTTTATTGAGGTATAGTTTATATAAAAAATTCACCTGTTTACAATTCAATGCTTTTTAATAATTTATTGAGTTGTGCAACCATCACCACAATCCAATTTTAGAACATTTCATCACCCGGTAAGATCCCTCATGCTGTTTTCATTTAATATAAAATGTTTGAGGTTTGTTCATGTTTTAGCATGTGTAGTATTTCACTCTTTTTTATTGCTGAATAGTGTTCCATTGTATGATTGTATTTTATTTATCTATTCATTGATTAATAGACATTTGGGTTGTTCCCACTTTTTAACTATTATGAATAGTGCTTCCATGATATTTACATGCATGTTTTTGCATGGACATATGTTTTCATTTGTCTTGGTTAGATACCTAGGAGTGGAATTGCTAGGTGATATGGTAAATTTATATTTAACCTATAAGAAACTGCCAGACTGCTTTCCAAAGTGGTTGTTACTATTTTACATTCTGCCTAGCAATGTACAAGGGTTACCATTTCTCCCCATTCTCACCAACATTTGTCATTCTCTCTTTTTGAACTACAGTCATTCTAGTGGGTGTAGTGTGGTATCTCACTGTGGTTTTAATTTGCATTTCCCTAGTGACTAATCATATTGAATATCTTTTCATGTGTTTACTGCACATTTGTATATTGTCTTTTGGGACCTATTTAAGTATTTTGCCCATTTTAAAATTTGGCTGCCTTTTTCTTACTGAGTAATAATTACTCTTTATAGATTCTCAATGTTATTCCTTTGTGAGATGTGTACTGCAAAGTCTATGACTTTGTCTATTCATTTTCTTCATGTTGTCTTTTAATAAATAGAAATTTAATATTTTTATTAGGCCCAGCTCATCAATTTTTTCTTTTATGGTTCATACTTTTTATGGCTTGTATAAGAAGTCTTTGCTAATCTCAAAGCCATAAGGATACTCTCCTAAGTTTTCTTCTAAAAGCTCTAGGGTTCTAGCTTTTATGACTGGGTCTTTGGTCCATCTGAAATTAATTTTTGTGTATAGGGTGAGGTTCATTTTTCCTTATGAATATCCAGTTGTTTCAACCACCATTTCTTAGAGGGATTTTCCTCCTCTTCTTGAATTGACTTGGTATCTTGATGCAAATTCAGTGATCACATATGTGCTCTATTTCTGGATTCTCTATCCTGTTCCACTGATCTATTTGTCTATCCTTATACCAATACTACACTGTCTTGATTATTAGAGCTTTACAGTAAGTCTTCAAATCTGGCAGTTTAAGTCTTTTATCCTTTTTTAAGTTTGGCTAACTAGAGCTTTTGTATTTCCATATATATTTTAGAATCAGCTTATAAATTTTGATTGGGACTATACTGAATACAGATATAATTTAGGGAGAACGAACATCACTAACAATATTATCATCCAGTCTATGAACATAGCATATCTCTTTAATTATTTTAGGGTTTCATTATCCTATTTCTTTCAGTGATGTTTTATAGTGTTGAATATAGAGGACCTGTATAGCTTTCAGTATATTTGCTCCAAGGTATCTAATTTTTTTATAACATTGCAAATATAACTTAAAATAATTCCATTTTTTAATTATACCAAAAAAAATCTCATTTCTGTAATCATCCTAAACAAAATATGTATAAATTCTGCTTAATTTTTTAAATAAACAGTAACTCAATCTACAGAAAGAGCATCCAAATCTCATTCTAGACACTCAATTTTTAACCAAGGCAAATAATTTCTGATGCAGTGATACAAAATGAATGCAAATTTTATCCATCTGCCCATATTCAAGAAGTCATAGCAAAAAATTTTGGAGTAAATCCTACACTTATTTGTAAGACTATACTATTAAAAAGAACTTGTAATAAGCAAGACAGACATTATTATCTAATGATGCTTAGAAAAACTTTCTACTATGTAGTAAAAGTTGTGTGGGTAAGAATATATTGGAGGGGAAGGGGCATATATTAGAGACTTTCAATGAGTTTCTACTGCTGTTCTAAATGGCTAAAGATTAGCCATAGATACTGGCATATCTATTCTAATGATATCACATTAAATATATTTTTGAAGGCTCAAATGTCATGATGAGGCTACCCTGGGGTTGAGAATTACCTGATTCATTAAATTATTTATTTAAAATTTTAAAAGTATGCCTTCAAAACAAACATAAAAAAAGGGGTAAATTTATTTTTATTAAATTTTTTTTTGGAAAAAGGATTTAGTTGTATTATCCTCAAAAAAAGAAATTAATTCTCTCATAGAATCAGATGCAGAGTCAGTTGATTATAATATCTACTCACTGCTTATGGGCTTACAGTTTGTTTAGGGTTTTGGAAAACTCACTATCTAAGCAAGAAAAGCAAGAAGTCATGAAGAGAATAAATATGGTATAAAAGGTTTCTGAATCTCTACCTCCATCTTCACAGTCTTCAGGGGCTTTGGCTTTCTTACAAAGACGAGGATCCAACCACGTGGTTGTCTTGGTATTGTGGCTGTAGAATAAAGATTTCAATTAGAAACAGCAAAAAAGATGGAGAAAACTATTTTAAAAGCAAAGGTTAAAAGTGACTAAAAGGTATATGATGTTTGCACATTTATTTCTTATAGGTTCCATTTGTATACCTCTGATTTAATAACCCTATTGCACTCAGTCTGTTACTTCAAAACTACTATCAAGGAAAAGTAATGCTAAAAGCACTAATTTGAGAATGAAGACTCTCAGGAAGGGAGAAGATGCCAGTGACAGAAAGAAGACACTGAAGCAGTCAAAATGTTTTAAAGGATGGTCACATAGCCCCATACACTGCATTATTTAGTAGAAAAAGCTGTATTGACAAATACGTTTGCTTGCTAGCTGACTTCTTTCCTCTCTCCCTTCAAAAAGCACTGTATTTCTTGAGTATCTGTGTTGCACAGGCACTGTGCTGAGGCCTAGGAATACAGAGATTAACAGAAAGATCCCCTGTCCTCACAGGGGCTCCTTAAAATACAATATAGTTATAAAATAAAAATTTTAAATGTTGTTTCTGCAACACGCAAGTAAAAACAATGGGTATAGTTCAACTCCAAAACCTAGTTTTCATCAGTATGGACCATCAGTATATTTCATCAGTATATTTGAGAGAAAAAAAGGTAGAATAAAAGACATCCTTACTCCGTGTCCCTTTTTATGAAGTAGGTCACAAATGCTTTAATTCCATTACAGGTCACAATTACTTTCAGACCAAGTCACCATGCAGTAGATATTAATGCTAAAACAAAATTATCACACAGCTGATTGGACAGTGTTAGAGTTTAAATATCTGAAATATGAGGATTAAAGAAAGAAAAAAAATCATGGAAGAAATATACAGGAATGCAGAAAAGTTTAAAGTTATTATCAAAGTAGTGTGAAAATAACAATGTGAATAAACTATCTTTCTTTGGGGTCTTTTAACATGAGATAAACAGACTAATCTCTACATTAACCACTCTTGGGAAATCAAGCCAACAGTTTCAAGGAATTAATCATATCTCCTATGACTTTTCTAACTCCTGAGCTACTTACAGTGCATACAACCCCTTCTTATACATTTCCAAGGATGATTAGTTGGTAGACTATGGCAGAAATATTTTTTGTATGCTGAATAATGGGCAATCTAAGTAGGAAAAATTGGGATAGTTTCTAGCAAGTCTGTGTTACCCATTTTGTCAGAGAGATACTTCACACTAAAACCAGTTAAACCAATTTTGGCAAAATGAAAAGAAACTAGGCCTCCAAAGAGGCCTAGCATCATGCAGAAAAAAATGGAAAAAAAAAAGTGGATATATCCTAAGCGAATATCAAAATTGCTACTTGAAAAAAGCATAACTTTGGTTCCAATGATCTGAAATTGTTACTGCTAAATTAGCAGATGTAGGTAATCAACTAGAGGATTTTACAAGAAATTTCCAAAAGTAAAGAAATGACCATGAAGACTATACCCAGAACATAACAGCTAAAAACTATAGACCTACTTTAGTACTCTTTTTGTACAGATGCACAATTTAACAGCAGCAGTAACACAGATCAAACACATTAGCCACAGCAAACAAGAGAGCTTTATCTATCAGCAAATAATATTCAACTATATTCTGGGCATTAACTCCTTATCAGTTATATGGTTTGCAAGTGTTTCCTCCTATTCTGTAGTTTGCTTTTTCACTCTGTTGATTGTTCCCCTTCAATGCACATACGTTTTTATTTTTTATTTTTTTACTTTGATATCATTAATGTAAAATTACTTGAAAATTATGGTTACTAGACTCCCCCTATTATCAAGTCCCCCCAACATATCCCATTACAGTCACTGTCTATCAGTGTAGTTACATGCTTGTCTTCTCTGTATATACTGCCTTTCCGGTGTCCCACTCACCTCCCACATTATGTGTGCTAATCGTAATGCCCCGTTTTCCCCCTTATCCCTTCCCTCCCACCCATCCTCCCCAGTCCCTTTCCCTTTGGTAACTGTTAGTCCATTCTTGGGTTCTGTGAGTCTGCTGCTGTTTTGTTCCTTCAGTTTTTTCTTTGTTCTTATACTCCACAGATGAGTGAAATCATTTGATACTTGTCTTTCTCCACCTGGCTTATTTCACTGAGCATAATACCCTCTAGCCCCATCCATGTTGTTGCAAATGGTACAATTTGTTTTCTTATGGATGAATAATATTCCAGTGTGTATATGTACCACATCTTCTTTATCCATTCATCTACTGATGGACACTTAGGTTGCTTCCTTTCCTGGCTATTGTAAATAGTGCTGAGATAAACATAGGGGTGCATATGGCTTTTTCAAACTGTGCTCCTGTATTCTTAGGGTAAATTCCTTGGGATGGAATTCCTGTGTCAAATGATATTTCTATTTTTAGTTTTCTGAGGAACCTCCATACTGCTTTCCACAATGGTTGAACTAATTTACATTCCCACCAGCAGTGTAGGAGGGTGCCCCTTTCTCTACATCCTCGCCAACATTTGTTGTTGTTTGTCTTTTGGATGTTGGTCATCCTTACTGGTGTGAGGTGATATCTCATTGTGGTTTTAATTTGCATTTCTCTGATGATTAGCAATGAGGTGCATCTTTTCATGTGCTTGTTGGCCATCTGATTTCTTCTTTGGAGAACTGTCTGTCCAGCCCCTCTGCCCATTTTTTAATTGACTTCTTTGCTTTTTGTTTGTTGAGGTACGTGAGCTCTTTATATAATGTGGAGGTCAACCCCATATCAGATATGTCATTTATGACTATATTCTCCCATTCTGTAGGATCTCTTTTTGTTCTACTGATGGTGTCCTTTGCTGCACAGAAGCTTTTTAGTTTGATATAGTCCCATTTGTTCAGTTTTGCTTTTGTTTCCCTTGCCCAGGGAGATATGTTCATGAAGAAGTTGCTCATGTTTATGTCCAAGAGATTTTTGCCTATATTTTTTTCTAAGAGTTTTATGGTTTTATGACTTACATTCAGGTCTTTGATCCATTTTGAGTTTACTTTTGTGTATGGATTATACAATGATCCAGTTTGATTCACTTACATGCAGCTGTCCGGTTTTGCCAAAACCAGCTGTTGAAGAGGCTGTCATTTCCCCATTGTATATCCATGGCTCCTTTGTTGTATATTAATTGACCATATATGCTTGGGTTTATATCTGGGCTCTCTAGTCTGTTCCACTGGTCTATGGGTCTGTTCTTGTGCCAGTACCAAATTGTCTTGATTACCGTGGCTTTGTAGTAGAGCTTGAAGTCAGGGAGTGTAATTCCCCCTGCTTTATTCTTCCTTCTCAGGATTGCTTTGGCTATTTGGTGTCTTTTGTGGTTCCATATGAATTTTAGAAGTATTTGCTCAAGTATTTGCTCTATTGAAGAATGCTATAGGTATTTTGATAGGAATTGCATTGAATCTATAGATTGCTTTAGGCAGGATGGCCATTTTGACATATTAATTCTTCTTACCCAAGAGCATGGGATCAATTTCCATTTATTAGTTTCCTCTTTTAATTTCTCTTAAGAGTGTCTTGTAGTTTTCAGAGTATAGGTCTTTCACTTCCTTGGTTAGGTTTATTCCTAGGTATTTTATTCTTTTTGATGCAATTGTGAATGGAATTGTTTTCCTGATTTCTCTTTCCGCTAGTTCATCTTTAGTGTACAGGAATGCCACAGATTTCTGTGTATTAATTTTGTATCCTGCAACTTTGCTGAATTCAGATATTAGATCTAGTAGTTTTGGAGTGGATTTTTTAGCGTATTTTATGTACAATATCATGTCATCTGCAAACAGGGACAATTAACCTTCTTCCTTGCCAATCCGGATGCCTTTTATTTCTTTGTGTTGTCTGATTGCCATGGCTAGGACCTCCAGTACTATGTTGAATAGAAGTGGGGAGAGTGGGCATCCTTGTCTTGTTACCAATCGTAAAGGAAAAGCTTTCAGCTTCTTGCTGTTAAGTATAACGTTGGCTGTGGGTCTGTCATATATGGCCTTTATTATGTTGAGGTACTTGCCCTCTATACCCATTTTGTTGAGAGTTTTTATCATGAATGGATGTTGAATTTTGTCAAATGGTTTTTCAGCATCTATGGAGATGACCATGTGGTTTTTGTCCTTCTTTTTGTTGGTGTAGTGGATGATGTTGATGGATTTTCAAATGTTGTACCATCCTTGCATCCCTGGGATGAATCCCACTCGATCATGATGGATGATGTTTTTGATGTATTTTTGAATTCGGTTTGCTAATATTTTGTTGAGTATTTTTGCATCTATGTTCATCAGGGATAAATGGTCTGTAATTTTCTTTTTTTGTGCTGTCTTTGCCTGGTTTTGGCATTAAGAGTAATGTTGGCCTCGTAGAATGAGTTTGGGAGTATTCCCTCCTCTTCTACTTTTTGGAAAACTTTAAGGAGGATGGGTTTTAAGTCTTCACTACATGTTTGATAAAATTCAGCAGTGAGACCATTTGGTCCAGGGATTGTTCTTAGTCAATGCACATAAATTTTTAAGTTTGATGAAGTCCCATTTGTCTAGTTTTGCTTTTGTTGCCTATGCTTTTGGTGTCATATCCAAGAAGTCCTTGCCAAGTCTAGGATCATTGGTGGGACCTTTTGCCTCTTTCAGGCTTGTAACCAAGAAAGGCTGCAGGCTGGAGGTTTCCACCCTCCCTCATTACCTGCATTTGTACCCCAACTGAGTTCCCGTGCGGGTGCTCTTAGCCCTAACTCCACCTCCCCACCTAACCTAAAACCTGTCTAAGACCCTAGTGACAGATGAGATAATTAATTCCCATTGGTTTCTGTTACTTCCTTATCTTCCCCTATATAACTAAGCCTCTGATGCAATAAAGCTGAGTTTTGCTGTGCCTCCAAGGCTGACACATCTCCTGGCTTGGTGTGGTTTTTTTTCCCCGGATCTCTGGGGAGGGTGACCGAGCCATCGACACTTGCCCTCTCGCTCAGCCCCCAGGGATAACAGGCTGGTCCTGCTTGTGC